ACTTTAGCTACTACATAAGCTCGTAAACAGTAAAAATAAAAATCCAATGCAAATAAAATTTTGTAGTCAACTCCAAGTACCTTAATTAAAAACGAACAGAAATGCAACGTTCTGTGAATCACAGATTAGAATTTTACTACCAGCCAATGGTTTTTCATTCTATATTAAGACTTAAAATATATCAGTGAAAGGTACAAATCAAAAGTTAACAAAACAGAAGACGAGAGTTGTGTTGAAATGAATAACCATACATTTTATTAGCCAAATAAAATCTATTCCATGTACTTGTATTAGCTTATAACCGAGTTAAAAATAAATCTACAAATAATAATTTCAAATTACATATCTCAAGCAAAAATTTTACTTAAAATTATGATAGAATATGTGACAATGAAAACAAGTAAAGTCAATATTGTTATTTTTATATTTTTATACAAAATCCAAAAGAGGAACCTTAAAGAGATTGTTTGTTGTAGATCGCCTTTTTCAGTCCAAGTGGCGGCTTTCGACAGAATTAATGAGTGTTGAGACAACAGTCTCTCGACGATGTAGCACGTACTTTGTGGTCACGGGGCTGTCAAAAATGTTTTTACACTTTAATCATTTTTAGTGCCGTGTAAGGTTTATTCCTTTCTTTAGGTGACTTTCCGTCGTTGTAATGATAAAAATTTTAAACCACAAAAATACCTTATAAAAATAGTATAAATGGTTAGTAGATTTCTTGTAAGAGGATGATTAATGCTTCTATTGGAATAACCTCAAAAGGGAATCAATTTTTTTCCTGTCAAAATTTAAGTTGTACGACCTAAAGCATTTCTATGTCAAGTCTTCTTGAAACAAGTTGCAGTCTGATTCTTTGTAACAACATACATTCATTCTTGAAATCCCTAAGAATCGTTTAGCAATTCGTAGAAACAGTCCCAATTTAAACTTTCTTTACTAATATTTTGAAAATCTCCCAAACTTTATATAGTCACAAACGTCATAATAAAACCAGTTCCACTTTTACATTACATTTAATCGAATTATCCGTGACAAATGACATAATAATAATACGAGTATAGTACTAAGTATTATTTTGAGCTTACAATTTCTCTCAATTCCTAATTCAGCCAAGCTAGCTGTCACTGACATGTTCGTGCATGTCAGTTTATATTTACAATATTCACAGTGTCCTATGAATTGTATATTTTAATCGGATTCTCACAAAAAAACTCTCATACTATAAAAAGTTCAATTATTCCTTACAATGAAGACGTGAGACGATTATTTTAAATATTTTGTGCCAATCCGATTAAATAGTATATATGTATGTTAGTAATTATGCATCACATGTACACAAATATGAATATTACGTTAGACATACCTTACGATATTTATCTCACTATATATGAGAACGAATGCAAAATCGTGAAATTTTCTAAGTCATCTAATAATCAGTTCTTTAAAAAACGAATGAGTAAACATTAATAAGTCTTAGGTGATTACTATTTATAAATGGAAGTTTGATATAAATGAAAATGTCTACCAGTATCGAATAAGTTACATCTAAAAAACGGTTATAAATAAATGTTAAAACCGTAAATAAAATCCAGATTATTTTTAATATAAACTCATTGACCTGGATTTTATATATTCCAGAACATTGATCTTCGCTCAGACGAACACGGAAACATATAAAAATATTAAGCAGGTACATATAATTAAAAACTTACACTAATGTGTGTTAATTATAATTAATATCTACGCTACATTATTTATACAATTCATAAAAAAATGTTGACTATTCAGTCGGTTCACTTACAGACTAGGAAATTCAACAGGACATCTCACACATTGAACCTTGATAGTTACAAATTACAATTAGATTATGTTCTCTTTCATATCAATAGCACTTTATAAAAACAGTTTTAATTTATTTCAAATGTATGTATAATGTATATTTCATTTTAATAAACATATTTAAACAAAAATGTATAAATATATATAAATCATTTGATTTACTTTATATGGTTTTAAAGATTTTTAAATATATTATAAACTTTAAAACGGGTATTGAATATATATTAGAACTGTCTTTATAAGTAATGTCTTTATCGGTGTGTATTGTGTATTTTTATTCATTTTTCTAACCGGCCGCCCATCATATATTGACTTTTTAATTACTTACATAGATTTAATTTCCATTGTTGTTAGTCATATTGAAATAATTACAGAAAGCTGCAAATTATACTTAACAGTTATTCGGGTTCACTAAAGTATGACCTCCACATGTGAATAGAAGTGCATAATGCTCGATTTAATGCGAAATTTGTGTATGTACGAGTATAACCGTTTGTTTGGACGGTATGTGAACATATAGTATTCTTAAAAGTTTATGGCAAGAAACTATTAATTCTAAAACAATAAAAAACTTGTGATTATGCACAGTATTCAATATCATATGCAGTTGATGCGTTTCATCATTGTCATAAAAAAAATACGATCTTTAATTTTCATTAGTGTGAATGCTTGTCTACACGTATTAGGGACATAGAGATAAAAGCACATTTTTTATTAAAATCAACGAAAATGGTTACGGTGCATTAAAAATATGGTAGAAATATTATACCACTAATTTCAAATACAATGAAGAAGATACAAAGAAGATTGGTCGGTACAATAACATACTTTAATGCCTTCACATAAGTCACAGTAAAATTTATAACTATTTAAAACAACACAAACAATCATACATCTACAACATTCAATACAAATAAGAACAACATTAAACACATATTAAACAATCTAAAATCTATTTATAACCTAATTTATTTAATTAAATATTACTATAAATATTCACCATTGAAAAAATTTAATGCAGTTTCTATATGAACGAGGCAGAAGTTTTTAATGAAACCAGAAACTACAGTTAGGCAACTTTATATCATTTTGAAAGATTGAAATAAAAAATGAACTCGGAATGTATATCAAATTATATAAATTAATAAGTTCAATGTGTTAGTAGAAAAATTAAAGTAGTAAACCAAAGAGACAAGCAGTGAAAGGTATTTTTCGAGATGACGAATAACAGTTTATTATTATTAAAAAACTAAAAAGCTTTTACGGATTGGTTTAGGCGTAGACGAAAATAATTGAATTCTCTATTCCACGTTAAAAATGTGTGCATTGCTGGAGGCTTTTGTCTCCGTTGGAAATAGAAAGCTATATTTGTTGAATGTGTCTGCTTCGAAGCGAGTGATCCCTTTATAGCTTCCCCTGTGACGTTGCTTGGTCTCGTATAAAATTACACTATTATCAATTGTTGATATTTTTAACACGTCTTTATTTATATTATCGGTTTTGACCTATTTTTATAAATATTCAGCAGAATCATATCCAAGCTATTATTATACGAATAACGAAGATTTTAAGCATGGATATAAATGCAAATGTTCTTTTTTAATCAATATAATCATTTTGCTCCAATATTTATGTTCGCCAAAGAAAAGATTCAGTAAAATATTGTTTATAATAGTGTTCGAAGCGGAAAGCCTTTTAAAGTAACTGACCGTTCAGTTTGAAAGGTCGGCCATTACCAACCTTTGTATCTTGTTAGTAACTATATACGGAAAATATTGCAATTTCAAACTGTGAATATTCTCTCCATACACGCTGTACGAATTTCATTTCTCAAATTTGCAAAGCAAACACAGCTCTGCTCCCGTTACTCGAATGTATGAAATAAATTCGTTTATATTTCTAGGTATTAAAGGCTAGGACATGTTTTTGTTTATTTCGACTTCACCCTTGACTTTTAAATGTCAGTGATGCCTTTATCATTGACCTTTAAAAGGACCTTATCAATGAACCAGAATATAATCCATTCCATTGTATGTAGATTTAACCCACTGCTTTAATTTTCCTTCTCTACATGTTATTTTCTTTAACGTTTTTCTTATGGAAATTAAATAACTTTTACATATTAATTTTGAGAGTTTATATAATATAATTGAAAATAAAAAACAAATTAAGAGGAATGCGTTTAACGTATTCCATTTAGCTGTCGATACACTCATATCGAATTCACAATGGAGAATGGAAAACCAACATTAGTCTGTATTTAAATGTCGCAAATGATTTATAAATTGTTTTTAAATGTCGATTATTCTCTAGAGTTAATATGAATAAATATTTCAATGACATCTGTTGACGTAATAAAGAACAAATTATTCAACTTTTTTCAAGTTATTGAAAATCTATTTTTATCAAAACTAACTTTGCGATAAATTTATAAACAGAAATATTATCAATTGAGGATAAGCGAGACATGTCTAAACAATGGCATAATTTGTTAACAGTCTGTACATACAATTTTAATTCACGATTGATGCAAAACGTTAGATTTCTTACATAAATCGTTTTAAGTATTTTTCGCCATCATTCTCGCATCATATAAATTACAATCGTATGATAAAATAATGACACAAATATTTTATCGAATTATTAACTAGTTTGGTATACCTGATTTGCATTTCTCATTTTCATCGTGTAAAGGTAGGTATTTACAAACTGCCAAAATATTTATCAAAATTCTACATTAAATGTTACCGTATCGTTGTCTCACAATGTTTAATACTATCCTATTATGATCGTTATGTTACCCAATTGACGCGTTTCGAGAAAGACATTGGTCCTAACTCATTCCTCTATAAAAATGATGAGCGTCTTCTATCGAAAACTCAATAATCAATGACAATAATCGGGATGATGTTGCCTTCCGTTCGGGTAAGCGTATTAAAAACCTATTGTTAATTACGTCCCTTACATAGTCTAAAGAACGGTAAAGGCACGGTAATGATGTGTGTTGCACTTATCGTATGGAAACTTCATACGAAACGAGAGAAGAAATTCCATCTAAAGGGTTCAAAAAAGGCTCTAGTCTAAGATTGAATCGAGGAAAGCATTTCAAGGCACATACATTTAGAAATGACAGCAGTGGTAAAAATTAGTGATTTAAAATGGAGCGACCGCTAGAAATGAGTCTAAGAGATATCGATGACTTCCTCACACGAGTCTCTGACAAACGACGTTCACACAATGAAGAAGCTCATGTTCATAGTCTATATCACGTAAAAATTTAGCGTCTTATCGCACCGTTCGGCACATGTTTACCGTTCTGTCAGAACGGTCGTCTAGTTTCACATGGTAGGCGGAGACAGGATTGCTGGCAGAGATGTCGCGCTGCGCAGAGTAATGCGGGCGCGGACTGCGGCGCATTCGGCAGCACTGGCGACAGTGAACCCTGGCCAGCGGGGCTGAGCTCCGCGGACGGCGGGCGCTACACGTGCGTGCACGCGCCCGCCGTCACTGGTCAGCCGCCCGCCAGCAGATCCTCGGGCTCCGGAGACCAGCAGTTGTCTGACAGCCAGCACCCCACCACCACGGTCACCACGCCGATCAGCAGCGCCAGAACTATATATACTTCTGCGTTCCCTGTACACAAGTAAATTACTAAGTTTAAATTTTAATTTAAAGTCTCAGGTATAAAATGAACTAACCTGGATGCTATTCTACTCTTACAATTATTTTCGTATGCAAAGAGCAAGTCTTAAATCAATTTTCTCAATTTATTTCCCAATTATGAATTATATAAACTTTAATGCTTAACATAATTTCTTAATAAACAATATTTAGTAGCTAAAGATTCCAAAATATTTTTCATAAAACAAAATATCTCAATAAGTCTTTTACAAGAAAGATCTAATTTTATTCAACACTGCCCACATATATATTCAAGTCAAATATTTCATGCTATGTAGGGAGTATTAAATAACGTGGCAAGTTGTCTCGGGTCGTACCCAGCTGCTTCCTTATGCCTAATGGCTGCCGACTGCGCCACAGCGAGTTGATAAGAGTGGGGTCCCCTCGAGTGCGCCAGTCTCGGTACCCACGCCCCCTGGTATATTGACTGAATCTGCGTACAAATACATTATTATACAGCGCGTAACAAATACGAGATGAAAATATATTATATAGAGCTGTACTTCATCCGTAATCAACTATAATCTGTATGGTAATTCGAGCAATATACAATACAGCCTCTGAAGGCGCTGGATCCTTGCCAAACATCAACGTTTCCATACAAATTGGAGTTTTTACAGGAAAGAGCGAAAAAGCGAAATTGAATTGTTAGCATTCCCCAATAGATCGATTGAGTTTCGTGCAGAATGCCTATGATTATGTGGTCATGCGAATGCGATGCAATTAACTACCGTGTTTATTTACGTTCTAATATTACATCAAAAATATAGACGCGACTTTAAGTCAAATAAAGCATCGTTAAATTGAAAATATTTTTACGAGTATATACAAACATTGTTATAAACAATTCAATTTCGCAAAACTTATTTTAGTACCTGTTATGTGTTAGATTCAAATGAATTCAAATGGAGCATTTCTGAGTTTGATATACAAGTAAATATATTTACGCTTTAATTTCCAAATTTTATGCTGTTACTGCTTTAATCTACTTGCTTTTAAACTACAATCAAACGTGCAAGTAACTTTCATGCAGTGGTACTATGTTTACGTCAACCAACGGTAACAAACGTCGGTTTACACTGTCTGTATGGCTCTCATGTAAAATACATATGGTAAATATAACTTTCTAAATATTAATTTACTCACGTTATCTCGTCGGAGCCGTTCGTTGCGGATGATCACATATAATATAAAAAACAACTTACATATTTACGTCCACAATTAACTTTTACCGTTTCAACTCAACATCAAGTGAGTGTTATAAATAAAAAGTTTATTGTGACTCTGTTATATTCTGTGAACTCACAAAAAATATATATATCAAATAAATTCTCTCGTTAATTTAACACCGTTAAGTATTAATTTGGAGATTATATCTAAGCTTATTTTATTTGTTAATAGATAGACACAGAGTGGACAAACGTTTACACACACACATTTTATTTAAATACTGTGGTCTACAGGGAATGTGTTTCCGACCTACTACAAATAGTCATTCATAAAATATCAGTCTTTTTTTTTCATTATTCAAAGCCAGCAATTTATATTCCATAAACATTTTTATTTTTAAATTTTACAGCCAGAAAAGTATAAAAAAGAATTCATTTATTAATGCAATTTCGTCTTGCACTTTAACGTCTTGGCAGCAGTAGCAATATTCTTTTATTAGTCTTTTATAAACAGTGACCGTCTGTTTATTAGTCCCTCGACTTGTAAGATGTAGTCATTAAATAATACCGATGGAACTTCGTACTTAATAGGGGTTGAGGCTCCAGAGTAATTTGTTTTGATTATTAGATTGCTGGCTTTTAATTCATCTTTAAATTTATTTTAATTTATTATTCATGTCATTATAAGGAAGATATTTTAGGAAGGATTTTAGACTTAAGACCTAGTTAAATTGTTATTCTATATAGTATTTTTATTAATTCTAGTTTATATTTCTAGTGAAAACTGATTTGTATTTCTATTTAACACACACATCTGATTATTGGTAGAGGCTGTTTCACACCAGCCTCGACCTTTGTGTTTAAAGACACAGAGTTCTATAAGTGTAAGTGGGAAACACACTCATGTTTTTATAGTGTTTACGATAAGGGTACCTGCGGACGCCGCCGACGCCGGGCGGCGCTGTGGAGTGTGAAACGGGAGGCACCTGCGCGCCGCCCTGTACGCCGCCCTGCACGCTGCCTTGCGGCGCGCACACACAACACCCTGCATACAATGTTAACAACATATAAATGTTTATTTCATCGGTAACAATACAACTTTAACAACATATACATAAGTAGTTATTTGATCTGCAATTGTTCATGTCAAATAATTGAGCATCCGTATAACTTATTCCAAGTTGCACATTTACGATACCTTTAAAATTGACACAAAATTTTCATTTCCTTAAGAAAATATTTGCTTAAAGAAATGAAAAACTTAATATTTCTTCCCTAGGCAAAGAAATACACCATACGGACTCATGAGAAATATAAGGATACATAGAATTCACAATGGAATGAAGGAACCTTACACACAAAGAGTAAATAATGTACCAGAGAGAACACTCAAACCTCAAAGTTGTTACGTATCCGAATGTTACATACAAAACCCTGGCACGTAGCTCTGTCCTAACACACTCTGTGGTTTAATACAAACAAAGCTTAATTGTCCTGGGATATTATGTTATGAGTTAGGTGACACTCACACAGTAATTTTTCGGACCATTGTGATAAATAAAATAATGAACACCGATTTTTTATGACAAAATAGTTTAAAAATAGCTATTGTTACTTTATTGTTAATTTCGTTATATAAAAGTAAAAAGAAATCAACAAATGTTATACATATTATTTGTTAATATTCAATAAGCAAAAAAAATATCCGCAATATATTATATTTGCATTGTTGTTCCATTGCCAAACGCCAATAGCAGGTGGTGGTAATTTCCTATAAAGTGGACAGTCTGCAAAATGCGTACTTTTTAAATAGCATTCACCAATTTTATTCTAACAAATATCTATAATTTCTAAACTTGTAATGAGTTAGTGGACTACTTCTATTTTTTAATAAACCTGCTACTGCCCTTCAGCTTTAATGTATAAATATGTTTATAATATATACCTTTATTCCTGAGATTTCAGAATCATTCCATTTTTTTATGTAGACATCGTAACATTAAACCAACACTATAAAATGTGACAACAGAGCTGTGCCAGTTTTCTGTGAAACTCAATTTATTTTTAGTTATTGTGTCTATTTACAAAACTTAAAGGATTTCGCCAGTTGATATTTCATTACACTCGCTCGGAAATGGAGACATTAGGATATTTTAAAACGGGTCGTACTTATAACAAAAATAGTCTTGTTATTTACAAAAGAAGAAAGTGGGCAATTAGTCCATGTTAGAAACTGACTTTAACAAAGCTAAGACAATGCATTGTGTGAGACTTTTCTAAAAACACATCATATAATTTAAGACTTTAGAAAAATCTAATATAATTCTTTGCTGTTTTTAATATAAATAACACGCATTATATGTATATAAGAATCATAATATAATACGAGGTTATTAACATTTTCTTGTGTAATACTACTTTTGGTCCGAGAATTCGTTAGCGTGGAATTGGGCTCAGAGAGCAATGTATAAACTATATTAAATCAATATGCTAACCCTCAGCTTATTCTTTAGTCAGTGTTACGTGACTTCAAGCTAAATACTACTATTAGTGATCCCGCGAGAACAACATGGAATAAGAGCAGAGATATAGCAAATATTATTCTGATATCTTATCTACAATACTCTAAAGTTTAATCAAAATCCGTTTAATGCATTTTATCCATCCACCTATACATACAGATATTCTCAACAAATTTTGTACCTATTGTATGAGTAGGATTTTGCTTTGGACAAGACAAATTTGACAGATCAAGTTATATTATTACTACAACTAAAAATAAATAATGTTTCATTCTTTAGCTTTGACGTTTTCTGTCCGTCTCTGTAGTAATAAAATTAAATCTTGAAAGAGGAAATTGTAAATGTTCAGAGCAGACTAGTTTGCCAGATCTCTGTAGTTTACTTGTTAAATTATGTGACTTCATCTTGTTTGTTTATTTTTCTCACCATCTAAAAGATGCAATTCGAGTTATCTTGCTTATTTCAAGCCTTTATCCTTTTCAGTCAAAATGTAAAATGCTTCTGTTTTTCGTCAAAATGAAATATACCTTAAAATTTTTTGAGTAAAGTTATTGCGGTTGTAAATATTTAAAATTCTCATATAAAGGTTAATTTATTCCAGACAAAATATGCCGTATAAAGAAGGCATGTTAATGTCTTCAGAGTGCTCATTAAGGCTCGTCTTCGGAGCTTTTATTATGTGATGCTAATAGCTAAAGCTTCGCTGCGTCATAATTACTTTAGATGTTAAACCTGACAAAACTATTCAATGTCTGTAGTATTGTTGGACCGTTTTACTGAATATGTAGTATAAAAGTGAAATTGAAAAGAGCCAGCACTTAAATATTTTATGATAAACACTTCTTTGGACAAATATTGAGGTTATAAATTAGTATAAATGTATAAAAAATTTATGAAAATTATTAATGGATTTTCAAATGCACTCCAACCAAACAATAATAATTAGCATTATGCAATATTTGATATTAATGAAAAATATATTTGTATTGCAATACAAACAAAGAACCTTTCGTCGTGAGGCGCTATTATCAGATATGAGGATAAAATTTCCTAAACTAAATTTACAAAATAAAATTAGATCTCTCATGATGGATTAAAATTAAGTAAGTTATATGTTACATTAAAAGTTGTTCAGTTGTACAGGAGTAGAAAACCTCAGATATCAAATTTCCCTTTGTGTTTCAATAACCTAACTGTTTTCGTTTGATATTATGTTGGTTACAGTTTAAAATCTATGAACTATTAAAGGTAAGTTTTTATATAAAATGTTTGAAAAAAAATTCTTTTGGATTTGTTCTTACAAAGGTTTTGAGATAATTATTCAGATGAAGGTTTTAAATGCCTTCATCTATTGTTCTTGAACTATTTAAACATCCGTGATCTGTTAAGAAGCACATCAATAGTATTATAATCAACATAGAAACCGAACTTTTGTAGAAATTAACACACAGATAAATACAGTAAATTTGTAATTAAATAAATGAATTATTTAATATATTCACGTGTTATATAGAAGCTAGTAAAAGAAAATAAACTTTTGTTGTAATAAATTAAATTATAAAGATACAAAACCATATCTACATATATTTAACATCTTAAGCTACAATTTTAAATTATTGCGAATAATGATTTCCTAATTAAGTTTTATTGTAGCTTAATTTAATTATTGAACATGAAAACAGTTCTGTTTGAGTTTTATAATATTATTAAAACAATACCACAGTATAGTACAGTTTGAATTAAAATGAGGTATTGTAAAGAAAATCCGTGTATTTTTTCTTCATAACCTTCATATCAATCTCTTTTCTAATTAACTTCACAAACACACACACATATTCACACATTTTACACAAATACACACATATACACACAGATACACAGGCACACACATACAAACAGAGATATATATGTTGATAAACAATCAAGACACAAATTGAATCCAATAAACTCGTTAAATATGTGTTTATCAAACGAATATATGTTGGGTAATAAAGCCTGTGTTTGAAATGCAATTATATGTACATTGATTAAACGCAAATGACAAATAATTAACAATATAAATTATTCAGTCTCACATGAATGAGAGTGCAATTAATATGAAATGTTTATTGATTTCATGCTGCGCATTGCTTGACTGGCATAAGATTACGTCTTATATCAAGTGGAAGCTAACGTGAACCGAACCATAGAAGATTATTGTTCAAACCATCGTTTTAAATCCGTATATTTAATGAATATAAGCATTGAATAATTTAAAGAATTAAAATAATATTTAATATAATTACTTAAAAGTTTTGATCTTTACAATTTCCTACAACTACATATATCAGTAGGTACAACGTCGAGGGGCTCCCACACTCGTAAGTAAAACTAGATTTATTGCTTCAATGAAAGTGCTGCTTACAGCGGATGCTGAACAAGTTTTAATTAAAAACCACCGTGTTAGAACCATTTATTAATGACCTTTACGATATTGGAAATCTTCATTACATCTCATGATTTATAAAATGATTCTTTATTTTCGTTGTCATTTAAATTAAAAGCAATCTTTTAGTTTATAAATGTCTTAAAACATACGCTAACAATATGAAGCGAATGTATATAAAAATAACACATTTTAAAGCTATGAACTCGTAAATCCGCATACGTAATTTTACTATATTAAAATTGCTAACGTTGAAGTCTCAGTGATAAATTTGATGTGTAAATTTAAAAGTTACCGCATCTAAGGATGAGAACAAAGCAAAAATTTTCAAAGCGAATTCAGGTCGCTGCGGATTAACGGCGGGTACTCACGGACGGAATGTGATCAAGTCATTGTACCAAGTCCATAATACTATCCCCGATGCATTATTGGCAGAATACGTCTTTGTCTTTTATGTCTTTCAAGAACATAAAAGATGGCGTAACATATGAGATTAGGTTTTGCTTTCAGTTTATACTTGTACCTGAAAATTTTCTTTGTTTAGAATTTCTATTATGATAAGAAAATTCGTATGAATTAACATACATGTTTTAATTTAAGCAGTTTCATTGAGCACTAGAGATATCTCGTTCGATTATACTAACAGAATTTAATAAAAGCTTGCACTCTACGCTGATTTGATTGCTGTATTTTTTACCAACAGCTTAACGATTCACGTTCAGCGATTAAATGGAATTGATTTCAAAAATACTTTCCTATTCACACATTGACATACCTGAAAATTTTATTTCATTCAATGTTTATTTTTCTCTTATAACTTGATAACGGTTTTTATATTGAAATAGTTTTGTAAATAACAATAATAGATATCAGAAACTAAATAATATTCATAAATAAATAGATACTAACAAATATAACGCCTTATACTGTAATGTGACATGAACATATTGAAAAATATCTTAACATATGTATGTACCCTGCTTTACCTCTAATATCAGGTCATGGAGTAATCCAGTGAAACGCCATGCTGTACGAAAGAATATTTATGCTGGAATGTAACCGCAAGTTTGCTTTAAGCGACCATTACCATTTATTTTCTATGCCTGCATTACGCGAGTGCTCAACTTTATGAAATGGGAATAAAAATTTATATTTAATTCAACATTTAGCAATCGTTTAAAATTATATAAAGTTGTACGAATTACTGTGCACCGCTTTTAATGCTGTACACTTTATGAATACTGATAATAATTTTATAGAAATTAATTTGATTTAGCTAGGAAACGATATGTTTTGTTGATACGAGTATGTACATAACTATACCTAACTTAATTTTCTTTATTCTTAATTATTTGCTAGCGTCATTTCATACAAGGAAAATAATTAATTAAAAAAGGCTATCTCTCTGTACTGTATCTCTATATATCTACATACTTGCTGTTAAAAATGCCTTGTAATTAATCAAAGAAAATATTTTTATGAACTTATATATATATATATGTAATTAACATACAAAATAAATGAAAAGCTACGTGTCTTGTTACTATATAGATTTAAGTAATACACAAGATTATGCAAACAAATTATTAACATTGCTAGTAT